AATGACTCCTGGGTTTCTAGCACTGAGGAATGAGAAGCTAGAACAGAACAAAAGTAGTGGAAACTGTATAAGCATAGCTCTATCTTACCTATGTGAAGCACATGGACCTAGGCCCCAAGTTGAAAAAATGTAAAAATAAACAACACAACAAAAGAACAAAATCTTATTAAAGCCATGCTGCTTCCTCAAGACTGCCCTTGCACCAGAAAATGTGGCTAGTTTGGAGTATGGTTGTTTTAAAATTTACATAAACATTCTGATTCATATGTTGGAATTTTTGCATATGAGAATTTCGTTGTGTGAGACATTTGTACCACCCTTCTTAGGATCACTTTTTTTGTGAACAAAACCACACTGGAAACTTACCATTCACTATTCATTCAGTATAGAGCAAAATTCTCCATAAAAAATTTAAAGCTCTTTTAAGCAGAAAGGACTCTAGTTTACCGAGGAGGGTTAACGTCTTGATAGCTGTGATTTTTTAAGCGTAGTCTTGAGTGTTCTTTAAGTCCAGATGGAATCAACTCTACTATCTGACAGATCAGGGGAAAGATTAATCTAATTAAATATTTTAATAATCAAGGTAACAGAAAAGTAAATCTATTTTATAGAGGTTACCAATTAAAAAATCAGAATATAATAAAAAGTATGAAAACCATGTTGGACATTAATTTACCTTAAGAACAGACTCAAAGATTGCATTTACCTACTGATAATTAAGCTGGTGACCTAGTAGACCTGCACCTCATGATGGTTCTTCCATCTCTAAAACTTAAAACTTCTAACAATAAAAAGATAGGATAAGCTACAGCTTTTGTAATTCTTTAATTTTCTCAAAATGGAAGAGCATAGAAGTAACTTAAATGTCATTCAATACTCAAACTAATCTCAATGTTTTCTTCCCATTTTAGCTGACTTCATTTTGTGAGATTATACATGTACCTTGGAAGTTAACAAAGCTAACTTAAGAAGAATGGAAGAGTATGTTCAAAATTTCAATTTATTTTGTGTGTATTTATTTAAATTGCCCCTTACATTAAATTTCTGTGAATTACTTATCTATTGTTATGTAACAAATTACTCCAAAACTTACCTACTTAAAATATAAACATTATTTCACACAGTTTTTGTGGGTCAGGAATTTGGGAGCAGCTTAGCTGGATGGTTCTAGGTTGGGGTCCCTCAATCCTGCAGTCATCTGAAGACTTGACTGAAGCTGGAGGATCCTCTTCCAAGATGTCTCATTTCTAGAGCTGGCATGTTGATGCTGGCTGTTGGCAGGAGGCCTTGGTTTCTCACCCTCATGAACTTATCCACAGAGCTGCTTAAGAGTCTCCATGACAAGGCAGCTGGTTTCCCACAGTGTGAGAGATACAACAGCATATGGGAGAAGCTGCAATGTCTTTTACTTTATTGATTTTAGAGAGAGAAAAACATTGATTTGTTTTTTCACTTATTTATGCATTCATTGGTTGATTTTTGTATGTGCCCTAACCAGGGATCAAACCTCCAAGCTTGATGTATTGGAGGATGCTCTAACCAACTGAGCTACCGGGCCAGGGCCTGCACCTAGCCTTTTATAACCTAGCCTTGGACTCCACAATGTTCTTTTAGTTACATAGGTTAGTTAGTCCTATTCAATGTGGGGGCGATTACAAAAGGGCATGAAGGTGAGAATCATATGGGCCAACTTGGAAATTGTCTACCACATTTTGTTTTTCACTAATCATGAGGCACTTTTGGTTAGTAGCATCTAAAGATGTTGCTAGAAAAAAAGTTAATTCAAATTGGGTAAGCATAGCCAAATTGCATGGATCACATACTTCGTTAAACAGTAAGTTGCTTGCTTATGGTTGGTGGTTAAAACGTCACTGAGGTATTTAGCAGAATCACATGCAAAACTCCTACTTTTGTTCATCTTGGTTATATTATATGACAATATAGACTTCATAGGAGCCAGTCTACATGCTATCTGTGCTTTTGAGTTTAACTTTAAAACCTTTGGTGGCTGACTTTTTTTTTTCTGTAGAAACCAACTGGAAGCCTCAGATCTTTCTTCAAAACCTTGGCAACCTGAGGTGATGGTGTCAGTGACAGGCGAACCACCTAGTGTTGTAGTAGAAGAAACAGCTCAAGAAGCAGACATAGAAGTCATCCCAGAAATCATAGAGGGACTCTCCATTCTAGATGTACTGAGGATCTCTGCTGTTCTGGAAGATACCACAGACCAGCTCTCTATTCTGAACTATATCATGCCAGTTCAGTATGAAAGAAGACAAAGTAGCAGCATGGTATATTTCATTGAATCTATTTTTTCTTTTTATTTCTCCATTTACAGTATCTATGTCATTAAATTTAACATGGGAAATAGCATCTTTATCTCAGATAAGGTCTATAATAATTACCTGAAATATGGACTCTCAGTTGGAGTGAAATAGCCATATCTCAAGGTACATTACCAGCCAAAATATCCTTTTCTCCAGTATGCTGGCATTATTCAAAAGGCCTGTAGTTAAATAGGTATAAGTACAGTATGTGCACTGAGATCAGACAAATTACTGAGTTGTCCCATTTATATTTCTCAGCTGCTAAAAGCTAACTGAACACTAGGTGGAGGAAATTCAACTGCTGGACCCTCTAAACGTTAATCTTTTAAAATGACTGTGTTGTCATTTCAAAATATATTGTAATCTGCCCTTCTGAATATCCGCCACATTATTGTGTCAGTCATTACATTTTCAGAGATGCTGTGGACTACTCAAAGCACGTATTTAGTTATCAAAAAATTCAACGTGGTAGTGTACAAAAGATTTATAAGTTATTAAACTCTTGTTAATTTTAATTACTTAGGTTGTACATATACAATAAAAATTTTAAATACAAATACATATTTATTGGTAGCTGGCGATTGGTGGAGAAAGCGGCAGCTGTCCCAGTGGAGGCAACGATGGGGCGGTCCCCGGCAGTCGGGACCAGCTGGAACGTGTCACCCCCTGGCGCTGCGGTGATCACTCACCTTCCCTGCGTGTTGCCCTGCACTGCTGTGGCCAGCGGGGAACCATGGCCGTGCTCGTCATGCTTCTGTCCTTGGTGGCGGGTGTTTTGGGGAACGAGTTTAGTGTATTAAGATCACCAGAGTATGTTGTTTTCCGCAATGGAAATTGGTCTATACCAGGAGAGCGAATCCCAGACGTGGCTGCATTAGCCATGGGCTTCTCTGTGGAAGAAGAACTTTCTTGGCCTGGACTTGCTGTGGGTAACCTATTCCATCGTCCTCAGGCTACTGTTATGGTGATTGTGAAGGGAGTGGACAAACTCACTCTACCCCCAGGCAGTGTCATTTCCTACCCTTTGGAGAATGCAGTTCCTTTTAGTCTTGACAGTGTTGCAAATTCCATTCATTCCTTATTTTCTCAAAAAACTCCTGTATTTTTGCAGTTGGCTCCCACTGAGGAAAGAGGGTAAATGGTGGGGAGGGCAAACTCAATTTTTGAAGATCTTTCAGTAACGTTAGGACAGCTCCGCAATCGCCTGTTTCAAGAAAACTCTGTTCTTAATTCACTTCCCCTCAATTCTCTGAGTAGTAACAGTGAAGTTGATCTGCTCTTTCTTTCTGAACTGCAAGTTCTGTGTGATATTTCAAGTTTGCTGTCTCGACATAAGCATCTAGCCAAGGATCATTCTCCTGATTTATATTCACTGGAGCTGGCAGGTTTGGATGAAATTGGGAAACATTACGGAGAAGATTCTGAGCAATTCAGAGATGCTTCTAAGGTCCTTGTTGATGCTTTGCAAAAGTTTGCAGATGGCATGTATAGTCTTTATGATGGGAATGCAGTGGTAGAGCTAGTGACTGTCAGATCATACGACACATCGCTTGTGAGGAAGACGAGGACTATCCTTGAGACAAAACAAGAGAAGAACCCATCAAGTCCCTATAACCTTGCATACAAGTATAATTTTGAGTATGCAGTGGTTTTCAACATGGTACTTTGGGTAATGATCTTCTTGGCCTTGGCTGTGATTATCACCTCTTACAATATTTGGAACATGGATCCTGGATATGATAGCATCATTTATAGGATGACAAACCAGAAGATTCGAGTGGATTGAACTTCCTTTATGCCAGAGATACAAAAGTGGTTTGGAAATTGGCTGTTTTGTGAAAATAGTGTAATTTAAAGTAGATAGTATACTTTAAATTTGTTTTAAAAAGCAAATTTTGTTCTCTATTTTGTGTGTGCCTGTGAAGTTGTTTATAGTAAAGTATATTGACATGAATTGATTTGTGTGATAGATTTCATAATATGCTCAAATATTATTAATTATAATTGCATTCCATTTAGTATTTGAATATAATGCACTGAAATAAATGTAAAACATTTAGAATAGTTTGTGTAATTTATGTTGAGAAAAAGCACTTGAGTTTATTAGAGAAACTTTTTTTTCCCCAATATATTTCTTTATTGATTTCAGAGAGGAAGGCAGAGGGAGAGAGAGAGAGAAACATCAATGATAAGAGAGAATCATTGATTGGCTGCCTCCTGCATGCCCCCTACTGGGGATCGAGCCTGCAACCCGGGCATGTGCCTTTGGCCAGAATTGAACCTTGGGGCCCTTCAGTCCGCAGGCCGACGCTCTCTCCACTGAGCAAAACCTGCTAGGGTTAATAGAGAAACTTTTAAATGCTCAACTTCCTTACACAGGATAGGTGAAAATTATATTTGGGTTGTTATATACTATGAGCAGTGGCTTATTTTGATTTTAATATCTCTGAAGCAAGAGAAAAGATTTTAAACTTTAGAGCAGCCCTAAACTATGAAAGTGCATGTGCAGTCACTTAGATTTGGAACTGCATCTGATTGACAGAGGATAGCTGTTTTTTTTGTTGTTGTTTTTTAAATATATTTTGATTTTCCACAGAGAGGAAGGGAGAGAGACAGAGAGTTAGAAACATCGATGAGAGAGAAACATCGATCAGCTGCCTCCTGCACATCTCCCACTGGGGATGTGCCCACAACCAAGGTACATGCCCTTGACCGGAATCGAACCCAGGACCCTTCAGTCCGCAGGCCGACGCCCTATCCACTGAGCCAAACCGGTTTTGGTGAGGATAGCTGTTTTTTAACTTATTCTGAAAGTTTGATAATCCACATTTGGTCTAATGTGGATATTAAAAATACTACAGTGGAGGACACATTTGTAATACCTTAACTAATAAAGAATTTAAAATAAATAAAAATATTACAGTGATTTAAGAAGAAACTAGCTTTGTGGAGTTATAAATGCTTGTAATTATACACACAAAAACATATTGAGGGAACATTTTGGGCCATGAATATAAAAATCTTTTAGTTTGCTGGCCAGTGTGGCTCCGATGTTTTCAGATTCGATTTCTGGTCAGGGCACATACCCAGGTTGCAGGTTCAAATCTCTGTTGGGGTGTGTGCAAGAGGCAACCAGTCAATGTTTCTTTCTTGAATTGATGTTCCTCTCTACCTCCCTCTCCCTCTCTCTTCAAAATCAATAAGAAAGCATATCCTTGGTTGAGTATTAAAAAAAAGTTAAAAAAAATTTTTTCAGTAACTATGGTTTATATCATTATAGAATAAATATTAAGTGTAAATAGATGCTCCTTACTTTCCATGTGGAAGTGGACCAATGTCTACAAAGTGACAAAGATAATAATGATTCCAAACAAAAAATAACCCACATACATCTTTATTAAGTTTAGCAAAATTAACATTATATAATCTGTATAGAATATATTCTTTGTAATTTTTTTGGTACACAATATATTCTTATTTCTGACAAATGAAAATTGCTTTAAGCCCTTGCCAGGTAGCTCAGTTGGTTAGCACATCCCAACACACCAAGGTTGCAGGTTTCAACCTGGGTCAGGGCACATACAAAGAGCAACCAATGAATGCATCAATAAGTGGAACAACAAATCAGTGTTTCTCTCTTTCTCTCAAATCAATAAATACAAAAAGAAGAAAATTGCTACATAAATGAGAAGGTAAATTGCTTTCTATGTCTAACTGAACAAGAAATCCATATTTATTGTGACTAGATAAAATTCTCTTTAATTGCTCCTTATAATTTAAAAATTATTATTATATGTATAATCTGGGTTTGTAAAGCTTTTTTTTAAAGTTTGAAACTTTTCATATAAACATAATCCAAGCCCTGGGGTGGGGGTGGGGAGGGTGGCTAGATAGGGTCAGTGGTGGGGAGAAGGGGGACATATGTAATAGTTTGAACAATAAAGACTTAAAAGGTAAAATGAAATAAAGTTTAAAAGTTTAGTTCTACCTGGTTTGGCTCAGTGGATAGAGCGTTGGCCTGTGGACTGAAGGGTCCCGGGTTCGATTCAGGTTAAGGACACATACCTGGGTTACGGGCTCCATCCATCCTCAGTAGGGGACGTGCAGGAGGCAGCCAACCAATGATTCTCATCATTGATGTTTCTGTCTCTCCCTTCCTCTCTGAAGTTAATAAAAAAATATTTTTTTAAAAAGTTTACACAAAATTTTAATAGAACACTGAATTTGGAGTCAGGAGACCTTTGCAGTTAAGTTGTGTGCAATGAGCAATTCATTTCACTTTCTTGGTCTTAGTTTTCTCATTTGCAAACTGTAAATGATCTATATGGTCCTTTCCAATGCTAAAATTCTATGAGTTTTGGGGTAATTTTAAAATGACCTTAATAGAGCCCTAACCGGTTTGGATCAGTGGATAGAGCGTCGGCCTGCGGACTCAAGGGTCCCAGGTTCAATTCCAGTCAAGGGCATGCACCTTGGTTGCGGGCACATACCCAGTGGGAGTATGCAGGAGGCAACTGATCGATGTTTCTCTCTCATCGATGTTTCTAACTCTCCCTCTCCCTTCCTCTCTGTAAGAAATCAATAAAATATATATATATTTTAAATGACCTTAATAGATATTATAGGTATTTTATAACAAATTAATTTCCTTATCAATTTATGAATGGCAAAGAGATTAGAAACCCAAGAACTAAGCCTTTCAATGCATGTTCTGGTTCATGAATTAGATAGTTAAAAATAGTACAGAGGAGAGTAGTGTTTCCTTCCTACTTACTGTCTCCTTCAGTAAGAAATAGCCCCGGCCAGTGTTCTCAGTGGTTAGAGCTGCAGCCCATGCACCTAAGGGTCTTGAGTTCAATTCCCCATCAAGGGCACATACCTGGGTTGCAGGTTCAATTTCCAGCCCTGGTCAGGGTGAATGTGGGAGAGAACCAATGGATGTATCTCTCTTCCTCTCTCTCCTTTTCTTCCCTAACCCCTCCCTTCTTTCCACTCTTAAAAAATAAATGGAGCCCTGACCGGCTTTGCTCAGTGGATAGAGCATCGGCCTGCAGACTGAAGGGTCCCAGGTTCGAGTCCGGTCAAGGGCATGTGCCCAGTGGTGGGTGTGCAGGAGGCAGCTGATTGATGTTTCTCTCTCATCGATGTTTCAAACTCTCTATCCCTCTCCCTTCCTCTCTGTAGAAAAATCAATAAAATATATTTTAAAAAAATAAATGGAAAAAAATAGCCTCAGGTGAGTAAAAAAGATACTCAGTTAACAAGATGAAATCTTATACGTAACAATGATACTGTCCGGCATAAAAAAAAAGGTAATTTGCCATCATAGAAATTCAAGAAAGGATGAAAAACCCAAATTTATAAATAGCCTTCAGCAGCAGTCACCACTTCAGTAAATAAAAGAACACAACTTCTGAGCTGTTTTATTCTGGCTAATGATCTTCACTTACAAAATTTTCTGACTTAACAGAGGTTCTGCTTATGATTTTTTAAAAAATATATATTTTAGTGATTTTTTTTTACAGAGAGGAAGGGAGAGGGATAGAGAGTTAGAAACATCGATGAGAGAGAAGCATCGATCAGCTGCTTCCTGCACACTCCCTACTGGGGATGTGCCTACAACCAAGGTACATGCCCTTGACTGGAATCGAACCTGGGACCCTTCAGTCCCCAGGCCAATGCTCTATCCAGTGAGCCAAACCAGCTAGGGCTCTGCTTATGATCTTATAGAAGTATAAATAATAAAGGTTTGCTTGGCTGGTGTGACTCAGTGATTGAGCATTGACCTATGAACCAAGAGGTCACGGTTTGATTCCTGGTCAGGGCACATGCCTGGGTTGTGGGCTCAGTCGCCACTGTGGGGCATGCAGGGGCAGCTTATCAATGATTCTCTATCATCATTGATGTTTCTCTCTCTCCCTCTCCCTACCTCTCTGAAATCAATAAAAATACATTTTTTTAAAATGATGGGTCTCCTAAAATGTTTTGTTTTTACTTCATAGTACTATAGTTGTTCAATTTCATAAATGTTACTATGCCATTACCCTATATGGCATGGGATATACATTTTAAAATCTTAGTATAGAAGTGGATTTTTTTCCTTCAAAGACTTCACATTGTTTAGCCTTATAACAACCTGGAGTTGAAAGGTTAGTTAGCATTATTCCATTTTTAAAGTCATTTTTATAGATAACGACATCTCCAAGTAGATTTTTTTTTTTCATTTGTTTGAAACATGGAATGGAATGATGAAACTATACTAACATACCGGGTTCTATCAGAAGCGAAGTAATGGATCTAAGGTTGGAAGAGATCCCTTGCAGGAAATACTGTTTCTCCTTTTCCTTATAGTCTAATGCCCTATCTTGTACATAATGTATGCTATGTAAAAATATTAGTGACTGGACTAGATAGAATACCTAGCTAGTTCCTTAAAGTTCTCTTCTAAAAATTCCTATTTCTATTAATCAGTAAATCAGTTTGACACAATTGCTTCCTTTTCCAGATGCCTACGCATGAAGGAAGAGGCAAACTAGGGCTATCAGAAAAACAGCTTCCTGGGCCTTACAGTTCCCCTTTCTCTCCTAGACAAAAATGAGGTTAAAACTGTAGGCAGAGGCCCTCGTATAGCTTTGTTTCTTCACTCTTTGAAAATCTGTGTTACATAAAACATCATTCATTGTTTTTAGAAGAAAAATAATGAAATGAATTTAGAAGAAAAAAGCCCAGAAAACCCTCCAGCGGTCCCAAAAATGTCGAAAGAAGAACCCAAGTTGCCAGAAATCAGACAAGGAGGACAATTGGCCAACGAATATAACAAAGTGCAAGATCTTGTCCTCCAAACACCTGTGAGGCAGTCCGCAATTTCTACAGAAACACTGAAAAAAATTCAGAATGATAGGTAAGGAGGGAGAGCATATTTGGAAGTGAAAGTGTATTTCTGGGTGGATAAAGAATGAGTGCTAGGGTGGCTGGCTGCCCTCTTCCCTTCTGGATGGTTCTTGTATCCAAAGTGAGTGCTGATAATAGTATTGAGTCCTTGTTTGCAATTTTTAAA